GTTAAATGTTGTGTAACAGTGCCCATACTGTATGTCTTAAACTTTATACAACAGGGGACAGACAAAGAATAAGAGTCCTAGACTCATGCCTCCTGTAATGAAGATGAACAGGATATCATTCTCTGTACCAGGCAGGTCAACGCCCACCCTGTATCTTGATATATCCACTGAATTGCACCATACTACTGCAGTTGTTTAAAGTATCCTTAAAAGTGGTGTTGAAATAATTTCAAAAGGACTTGTGGCAAGTTCTTAAAGAGGAAACGGTGCTGAAACCAGTGCAGAACATTGAAGGTTTTGTCTGAGGGAAAACTTCCCTTGCCATATAATTCCTATTATACCCATATAATTGATTTTCATGAAAGTAAGGAACAATACAAAAAATACATTAAACCACATTTAGGGATGTATAGGACTTGTAGAATTTTGCCTGCCATTCTTTTCAGAGTTTTAACATAACAAGGGCTATGGCAGTTATTTGTTAAGTTTTTTCTTTTTTTATGTTTTAAGAATGTTTTATTTTTTGTTTAAAAGTTTCAAAAATAGAACAAAATACTGACATAATACTCCCCCCCCCTTCCAGGGTTCCTACCAAGAACCCAATAAACAGGAATCATACAGAAGAAACACTGTGCAGTAAGCTGCAGCATTCCAAGCCTCCCCAATCTCCTGTCCCCTCCCCCCGTGATGCTGGATCTGAGGAGCAGGTTTTAGTCCAGTCTTATCATTGTTGAGCACGTGGACCACTGGGAATGCCAGCAAATTACAAGCTGTTTTATCACTCCACGCAGGACAAAGAAAACTTCTGCTTTGTGTAGAAATAAACCACGTTTTCTTTGCTAAAGGTAGTAAAATTTGTGGGGTGAAATGATAATACAGCATATTTGATCACATAGGACTTCACAGTCCTGATCTCAGTATCTTCAGGATTTCACTTGTTTAGAGCTTTCCATTGTGTTTTAGAAAATCTTCACAGGAATTAGAGTAATGATGTCTTTTTGTTGTTTTCAGTTCTTACTCTTTGGGAAATCTGAAGTTAACTTTATCAGTGACTTTTATCAGTAAGATCTTTAAGTATCTGAGAGGATTACAGTCTAGTACGTTTAACAAATGAGTGGCACTGGGAAGTCCTGCAGTCAGGAACAGGCAGATTTGACGTGTTTGTACTCTTCAGTTCCACAGGTTGATCGAGTTGCTCTAGAAACGGGGAGTGTTGCCATCCTTGCTTCAGACGTCCATTGACAATGCGAATCTATTGGAAGAAGACTGTCGCCTACCTGCCTTTTCTTTGCCTCGTCCTTGTCCTCTACATTACACGAAATAACAAGGGGGATTTATCCACTGTACGTGAACTCCTATCATTATTTTTTATTGCTTAATAGAAAAAGGACAGCCATGGGTTCTCGTGGGTTTTTGAGTCAGTGTCTAAACAAGATTTCTCATTAGATCTATACTTCCTTTAACATATGAACAAGCTGCTTACGATTTGAGTTTTGTTCATACAATTAAGGAGATCTCATTGTACAACGTGCTGATATTGTCCACATCACAAGTTACACTTGATAAAGGTTGGCACCGATATGACTAAACAACAATTAATTCCTTTAATTTAATTCCTGCTGTGCAGAAATACTAATCAGTCTGTAAGTGATGACTCTTTGTGTTTTTAGCAGGTAATGCCATTTTAATGTTATCATTGTAAGCATAGTGTATATGGGATTAATTGCAAGATTTATTGCTAAATTTGGAGCTTTCATTGACAATAAAGGATGTAAAGATGTGATTGCAAACCATTTAATGTAATTATATTATTGTAATACATAATACAATAATTTATTGAAATTTCTAATCATGATGGTTTTGTCTGATTAACCCCAACTCCCGTTCCATCTACATCGTCTTCACTCAGGGAATACTCATGAAAATTCAGTTTTGTCTTGGAAGTCACCAGTTAATCCCAGTTGAACCCATCAATTTCTTTTTCAAAGCCAGCACTTGGCCATTCAAGTAACCATAAAAGACGAAAAGGTAGAAAGTGTCAATGCCAGTTTTATACAAACAAATCTTAAAAGTGCTTTGCATTTGCAGGAGGAAGAGAAGCGATGGGCAAGAGAGATTGTCTCACAGCAGCTGAACTCTGAAAAAAACCTGCAGAGTTTCACCGAACTGCAAAATGATTCTTCACCGCTTAATATCTCTTACCACTTCCTGGCAGGATTTCCAGTGCAGAAACAAAGTAAGCTTGGCTAGTTAAATCTATACTATATTACTGCTAGTAGTCACTGTAATATATTTTAAAAGACTGCATTGCTCTTGTCTTTATATGACTACAAGTGTACAGATATCTTTCCATACAGGAATTAAAAGACATTTTGGGGATACATTCACTTTATTCTGTGGCACAAAGCACATGATTTTATATTCAGGATGTGATGGCAGATTGTTTTCCTAGGCAATTAACTTTTGAAACAAACAACAAATAAAGAGGTGTCAAAGTTAAAAAAAATAAAAATAAAAGTTTACATTGGGAACTTGCTCACAAAATCAGTGCTATGATGTTGACTTAATGAACACAGTGGAGGGATGCAAGGAGTCACAATGCAGTCCAGTGAAGGTTTGAGGTAATGGCCATTTCCAGAGAGCACTGGGAGAAGACACACAAGGTTTATCCCCCACAGGAGTGTTGAGCGAACTTTATAGTCTGCAAAGGAACAAGTAGAAGTTTGCTGAAACCAAAAGAAGACAATGTTTTGGCTGTGGAGCTTTCTTCAGGTGTAAAGCCCTCTTCACGCACCTGAAGAAGACTCCACAGCTGAAATGTTGCATCTCTTTTCTTTTCCTTTCTGCATGGAATAAACCTTTACGATTAGGTTACGTTTAGGTTCCTTTGCAGTCTATGTATGCAAACGCAGCTACCAACCTGAGTTTTGTAGTCAGTGTCCAGCTATGGTCACCTTATGTTATTATCATGAATAGGGCTTTATGAGTGACCATCCCTGTCTTTCATCTATGCCTGTGTCACATACAACCACAGGTATCTTATTTAAAATGCACTCGCGCCTGGTCAGGAATAATGAGTCAGATTTCTACAGCAGAGTGTGCCAACAGAGCATGTGAATATATACTGTATATTGCAATGATCAGTGTATCGTTACCATGCATACTCAATTTATAATAAGTGAATATATAGACTTATGTGTAATTAATGTTATCTTGTAAGCCAAGTACTCTTAGGAGTTCATCTGCTCGCGTTATCTGGTTCTTTTGCAGCAGGACAAGCAGAGGTGGTTCTATTGCTCTCAGGAATTATGGTTCTGTTGCTCTTGAGAGGTGCAATTGGAAGAGGCACTCTCTTGGTTGCAGATTGAGCTCTGTGATCCAGGCATTGCAGAGTTGAAGTCATGGTGTTTAGGTGACTAGCTGAATTTAGGCTGGTATCACTGTAGGCTTGCAGTCCTGTCAGTGTAGGACAAGCCTCATGTACAGGGTTATGTAGTCTATAAATATCTAAATATCCATATAAATATTTCAAGGGTGTGTGGGTTTGAGGTGTGCATTCCTCCTCCTGCCTTGTGTGAAGTTACAGGTTTTGGAAGGGTGAACCAAGATGTGAACACAAAATGAACCATTCCAATCTGAGGGGGTGTATAACAAAAACAATTGGAAACCAAGTAAGGATTAGTTCTTCAGAAAGAAATAGTGGGGAAAAAGAAGCCTCATGTTCTCTCATCCTGTAATGTCCATTTTATAACTGAGTTCGTCAATTTCAACACTCCACAGTAGACAAATAACTTTCTTAATCTTACAGAATCCCTTCCAGGATTTCTTCAGCAATTACAATTTGCCCCTTTACTTTTTAGTAGATTGTTCTCCAGGTGTTTGACATTGTGTTTAATTCCTGTTGTGCAGGCTGATACTTTTCACAGGAACCTCTGATTGGTATGGGGTTGGGCTCATTTGAGTTTCTAGTTTACGTGAATAATAGGTTTATCCAGTGCCCACCTGTCACCGTGCTTAAGTAGGCTTGATTGGAAGATCCTTTCTCTGGTGGGCAAAATAGAACTCAACACTCAACCTCATTGTATCTTTATCCACTTAAAGTTTCTGATATCAGACCAGTTTGACCATTGTCATCACAACTACTAATTCTAATTGCTAACCTCTACATCAGTCATATGGCTTCAAAAGGCAAGTGTGAAATATTAAATAGGCGTTTGAGTCCAAATACCTTAAGACTTAGTAAAAAAGGCATTTTTGTGAAGAGATGACATTACTAGAGAGTATGAGAGAGTAATGCATTTTCTTCCTTTCAGAATACCTCACGGTGGGACTCTCGTCGGTCAAGCGAAAGAAAGGCAATTACCTCCTGGAAACGCTCAATTCTATTTTTACACAGTCCTCTGATGAAGAGCTGAAAGAGATGGTGGTGGTGGTCCTCCTTGCAGACTTTGACAAGGACTGGAACATTCAGGTGGTGAAGGACATCTCCTTGAGGTTCCCACACCATGTCCTGAAAGGCCATCTAATGGTAATTCATGCACCTCAAGAGCAGTACCCTCATCTAGAGGGACTGAAGAGAAACTTTAACGACGCGCCCGACCGCGTCTACTTCCGTTCCAAGCAGAATGTGGACTATGCCTTCCTTTTCAACTTCTGTGCCAACCTCTCACGTTACTATGTTATGATAGAAGACGATGTTCTCTGCTCCAAGAACTTTTTCACTTCCATTAAAAAGTTCCTTACATCGCGAAAGGACTCATTTTGGGTGACCCTGGAATTTTCCAAACTTGGCTACATTGGCAAGCTATACCATTCCAGTGACCTGCCACGACTTGCTCAGTTTCTTTTTCTTTTCTACCAGGAGATGCCCTGTGACTGGCTGTTAGGTCATTTCCGAGCACTTCTTGCTCAAAAGGAAGTGATTCGTTTCAGACCTTCTTTATTTCAACATGTGGGGCTGTATTCCTCCTTTCAAGGGACCAAGAACCACTTAAAGGATGACGATTTTGAAGAGAATCCCATTGATATTCCTGACAACCCTCCAGCAGACATCTTTACCAACATCACTCAGTTTGAGAAGTACACTGCTAATAAAGCTTATGACAATGGAGAAGACTACTTCTGGGGAAAGTCTCCATCTCCAGGTAGCTACTTTACCATTGTGCTGCACAAACCAGCTATGTTATCACGTGTCTCGATCCTTTCGGGCTCCCAGGACAGAATGAAGGACAAGCTACAGTCTGCAGAGGTGGAACAGGGAACAAAACCAGTCATGTTGGAGAATAGAGTTGAATGTTTACATTATATCAAACTTGGTGATTTTGTTGATGGGCAGTTTGAGAAAAACAATATAGAAGGAAGTACCAATTCTCCTGTTTCTTGTTTAAGAATTGTAGTCACAAAAAAACAGGAAGATTGGGTTATAATCCGAAGAATAAACCTTTGGATCAAAAAGAAAACATGATGATCAATCAAGTAGCTTTAAGGATTCAGAAGGAAATGGGTGCATGAACCAAATGTATCTATTTGAAAAAGGCCAGTTTGAGAACAGGGTAAAGCGCAGAAGGCCATGTGCTGTTACATCACGGTTTTATATATTAGTGTTTATGCCGATCAGACCATCACTTCTCTATTTCAGTTAATTAAAAAAATGGGTTAATGGGTTACACTTTCAGTATTCCTAACCTTGTGGCATTGGGTGAGAACGTGCATAACTGGGATGCAGCAGCTGCTGGTAGAATCCTGTCCTTAAAAGGCCTTATTAAAGTTTAGCAATAAACATTGCTGATTTTTATACCCCATAAAGATATTGTTTGATTTAAATGTCTGTTGTAGCCCACATTATCCATGTGCAGATACAACAAGTGAAAAGGGATACAGAAATATATAGAGAAATAGAAGGAACTGGGAAATGGTTGGAAGAAGCAATTATTATTGAACATCTGGAAATGACTTTATACCTGCTGTTTTTTGCTGGGGACACTTTGGAATACATTGTGTTTTTTTACTGTAAGGTTCTTATTTCAAAGCTCACTCAGTGGTGTTAACTAGTGGTGGGAGATTAATTTACAGTTTAGTTTTGAGTGTAATGTGCTCTGAACAGTTTTGGTTTTGACAGACTATATTGAAACAGCACTTGTTAAGGATTTAGTTGGTGGTGGTAGTTAATGATTTGATAATGGCTTCTGACTGTGAGTTACTTAATTCTTCTTGGTTCTTCTGAACTTAAGTGCCACTCTTGACACTGTCTCCCTTCATTGGTTTGGCTTCAAGGACTTAGTTTGTAAAGTTTTCACTGTTGTAAAACTCATATTGTTCCATTTACTCAGGGTGTTCCACAATGTTCTGTGCTGGGACCATTGCTTTTTAATATGTATGCGTTGCCTCATTGTTTGAGGTTTTGTCATTCTTGGCTGTGTTTCACTTCACTAATGCACAGATGCACCTGCAGACTAGATACTACTCCTGCACTTTATAGATGTCTAAAACTAAGATTTGGAGGCAGTAGATCCTTCAACTAAACCAACAAGGCCTAGCTTAAGCTTATAGGCTCCCAATTACAGTTTTGCAGAGTTGCAAAGTGTTTTGTTGACGGTGCTGAAATCAAACCTTTAATGGACGTTGGAAACCTTGGTGTTACTTTTGACCCTAGTTATCATTTGGAACACATATAAGGGAGCATTGCAAGGGTCTCTTTCTACCACCTGCCTAACATTGCTCAAGTAAAACCCTTGCCTATATGATGCTGAAACATAAATAAATGCTTTTATTTAATCGAGATTAACACTTCACTTAAAGGTGTTACTTCTGGTAGTAAATAAGCTTCAGAATGTCCAACATCCTGCAGTCTGTATGCCATTTAAATGTGTTGTGCATCAACACAACTTCCATCTACTGTCAATTTCACTTTACAGGGCAATTAAATTGGGCAGTTCTGCTCATGTAGAAGGCATGTAATGGTCTACCTCCATATGAACGTTTTCTTGAGCAAATCCAGTCCTTAATCCTGGATTGGCTGTACCATCTGAAGACCTGGCTCCACACCGTGGGTGATAGAGCCTTCTTGTGTTCAGCATCACATTGGTGACAATCATTGCCCAAGTCCATTTGAAACTCTGACATTTTTGACATTTTCAAAACAAACTCTATTTTCCCTGAAGTTCATAATGTTTTTTTTTCTAATTTATTTTGCTGGACTTTTTCCCCACCTTATTTTTGTTTCTGATGTGCATCTGTGCTATTGTACAGTACTTTGAAGATTGTGAAAAACGTATAAATAAAATTAACTGTATTATGGCATATTAATATATTTGGGATTTCTACACATATAATATTGGTTTATTGAAGAAATGTTATTCATATTTGATAACTTCTTAAATTAAAATAATTCAAAACTAAATATGCTTTTTTGACATTTCTTGAAAGTGCATTGGAGATCAAATGTTCAACAGTCAAGTTCTTCTGATTGCTACAGTATTTACAGAACTATGGGATTCCTATCTATATGTGCAGACAACACGTATTGGGAAAGGCTTCTTTTAATGGATTACTTGTTCATTTTAAAAATTAATCATTTGTAAGAGAAACTTAATGACTGTAATGGATAACGTTTTATACTGTAAGTTATCTCCCCCAACACTGCGAACTCCATCAGCCTACCTTCTTAAAAGGTCTCAGTAAAAATTGTTTCTTTTGCTTTTTTTAAATTTGTGGCTTTTTAAATTCATACATAGTAATAGACATTGACATTTTGGTTGTTTTGCAGTTTTATTATTATTATTTATGTTATACTGGTTTGATTTAACCACATAAAAACGTTCAAGAATTGGGGTTTTCAAATATATTTGCACAGTTCTGCATAAATGAAAGAAAGGTGGGGTGTGAATTTAGTCAAATGGTAAGTAGGAGAATTTTCCATGCTGCTAAATTGTTTTACTTAATCCCTTAGGTCAGTTGATCTCGGTGTGGTAAGGAATCTTAACTGGCATGGATGCTGAGACTCTGTTTTTAGTATTACAGTAAAGTGTACCTTGGGAAACAAAGCAAAGACACATCCAAAGTGCCCATTCCAGAGGGTTTAATATGTAAGCCAATAAGTGTTTCAGTTTACTTCAGTGCAAATTTTAGTCTGAGGCACAAGTCAAATCATGCGATCACATGTGCTAGAGACCAAATAGAATTCTTCCTGACGATAATTGTTTTTTAACTTCATTATTTTAACGGACCGCTGTTAGGTCCACCACTCTGGCAGACAGGAGAGGACTTTTGTCAGGCGAGCTTTGCCAAGCATAACGCAAGCAGCAAAGTGGAGGAGGGGGGGAAGTCAAGCAAAACAGGTGTGAGCGGAACGCGAGCTCTGGCCGAGTAGTGACAGGCGGAGTGGTGCTGTGCCGAGCACTTTGTTTGCCAGCTGGAGGGGCTGTGGCTGAAAGTGCACACGGGCTGCCAGGTTCCTGTCCAGAGGCGCTCTTCCAGTTCATGGTCATGCAGGTAGGAGTCAAGGTCGAAAAGAACAAACGAAACCCTGTCCAAAACATGAGGGGAAATCCGTGAGAGTAGGTTGAGCAAGCCAGAGTCCATACCAACTCTGTGCAAGTTGTACATATTACACATTGAAGTTATTCAAGCATATGGGGAGATCCAGTAGCAGGCTAGGAATCCAAAACAAGCACTAGAGAGGGAACACAGGTAGCAAACAGGGAACCAGGAATAGAGGAACACAGGAACTAGAGAACAAAGCAAGGAGCAAATTCTTCACTAGAAGACTTCACTAGAGCAGACTTTGTGCCAGCGTGCCGAGTGCAGTCTGACCTGACCTTATGTAGCCTGCACCACGAAAGGCTGAGGTGCTCATAATAGCACAGAGGCCTTTTGTTTGATTATGATGTAACAGACAAATGAGTTCTGGATCCCGAGATGAAGTTAAACAGATGAGTTTTATTGTATGCAAGGAACAATAAAACAGAAGTATTGTTCAAAGTGCCAGTACAAAACTTCCAGTTTATATAGCCCTTTTCTGCTGCTTCTGACGTAGTTCATTACTATAGCAATGTGGGGAGGTCACGGTGTTCCGACAGTTCACAGACTTTGGCCAAATGGTCAGTGTTAGGTTTCCTTCCTTGAGAAGGGGGGCATCTGGAATCCTTATCCCCCTTTCCTGCCATAACTCTAAGCCTGGAATGTCTGGTATCACAAGAAGTCCAGTCCTTGTGCACAAAGGAATCAGTAACCCGTTCTTCACATCTTCACATCACATCTTTCTTCAATTATGTGTCTTTTATAACCAGCGTTGACAGAAGAGTGAAGGTGTGGCTGTTTACCATGGTAATGTTAGCCTACCCCACAGCTCTGGAGTCAGGTGCTGACATGACAAACACCTAATGTGACCAATTACCACAGTCCTTCTTTGTTTTGGGTGACCATTTTAGTGGCTTTTTATCTGTATAGTAGAAACACACTGACTGAAAAATAAATCCAAGGCCCGTAACTCCAGTCCTGGAGGAATACATTCTGTAAATCAACAGCAGCTGCAGACCTAAATCTGTTCAATTGATCCAGCTAATTCAACATATTTTTTAAATAATTTAACTGGAATGAAAAACTGAACTTGATTTGGTAACCCTTGTTTTAGATGAAGGACTGAATTAAGGTTTATTAAACCTGGGAAGCAAGTAATTTTAGATACAAAATAGTCAGTTAAGAAGAGTAGTATAGAAGTGTGTCAAAGGCTTGACTAATGTCAAAGCTATTGGCCTTATCGAAACAATTGTCACTTTTAAGTTTTGTATTTCACTGTAAATGAACAAAAACTGTTTTTCATTTGTGATATTATTTGTGTGGCCTGTAGGCTGCTTGTGGCTCTCATATTCTTAAATGTATCACGTCACTCATTTTCTAACCTCTTTATCCAATAGAGGGTTGTGGGGGAGTCAGAGCCCAATCTAGCAAGCAACAGGGAAAAGACAGGAGGCTGTACATCATAGACAGGACTGTGGAAAGAAACCAATGCCAATATGGGGAGAACATACAAACTCCACACAGAAAGCACCTCAGGAATCAAACCTTGGGCCCCAGCACTGCAAGGCAGCAATGCTAACTACTGCTCCACCATGCTATCCTTAATGTGTTACTTCATGTTAATATTGTAAATAACATGTTTATTTGAAGATCACCTTCTTGGCAATTCATTTCAAAGTGTTTTTATCATGTATGTATTTATAGATAAATAATTAATAGGTATTTTTTTTTCTGTCAATCCAACCAATTTCTAATTGCTTTATCCAGTTCTGGGTTGCAGGAGAGCATCCTATCCCAGCAGGCAATAGGTGCAAGGACATGTACACTGCAGACATGATGCTAGTCCATCCCAGTGCACACATAGACACAGACTCGCACACATTCACACCAGGGTCAGTTTTCCCAAGAGATAATGGACCTACAAGTATGTTTTTAGTCTATGGGAGGAAACCGGATCACCAAGAGGAAACCCAAACAAAAATGGGGAGAACATATAAACTCCACATAGTCAGCACCCCCGTTTCCAAAATTGAACCCAGGGTCCCAGTGCTGTTTAAGGACAGATGTGCTAGAGGGCTGCATTTTGAGAACCATTC